GAGAGAGAGAAGGGGGGGGTGAACTTCTTCAATCTCCTCCGGATCTCATACTGGTGACCAACAAGCGCCCATCTCCTTCGGTTGAGTTGAGGGAGTGTGAGGGAGGGAAGGAGGGTGGAGGGGGAGTAAGGAGGGAGAGGAGAGGAAGGCGCAAGGAAGGGGAAGCGGACTGAAGGAGGAGGAGAGAAGAAAGAGGAGGAGAGCAGAGAGGGGGAAGCCGGAGAGCAGATGGCGGAAGAGGGGAGGCGGAGGAAGCAGAGCGGGAGAGAAGGAGACAGTGAGAGACGAGGGACGGGAGGCAGAGAGACAGGAAGCGGGAGCGTGAACTTCTCATACTCCGCCAGGTCTCATTTTGTGTGGCCAACACGCCATTCCTTCGTGAGTTGAGGGATGAGTGAGGTTGAGGGAGATGGAAGGATGACGTGAGGCGGAGGGGAAGGAAGGAGGAAAGAGAAGGAAGGGAGACGGTTGTGAGCGAGAGAAGGAGAAGGGTGGAAGAGGGGGAGAGGGAGGAGAGAAGAGAAGGGGAGACGAAGAGAAGGGCCTGGAGGGAGGAGGAGAGAGAGAGAAGGGCGGAGAAGGTGTGAGGGAGAGGGAAGGAGGGGATAGAGGGAGGACCGGAGAGAGAGAGAGAGAGAGAAGGCGGAGGGTGAACTGCTTCATCTCCGCCGGATCGTCATTCTGGTGGCCAACAGCGCCATCTCCTTCGGTGAGTGAGGGGGGAGGTGTGAGGGAGGGGAAGGAGGGGGGAGGGGAAAGGAGAGAGGAGGGAGGAGGGGAAAGGGGGGAGAGAGGGGTGGAGGGGAGAGAGAGGGAAGGGAGGCGGAGGAGAGAGGGCAGGGAAGGAGGGAGGGAGGAAGGGAGGAGGTAGGGGGGAGGAGGGAGGGAAGGAGGGAGGGGAGGAGAGAGAGGGGAGGGGAAGGGAAGGAGCGTGGGAGGGGAAGAGAGGAAGGGGAGAGGGGAGAGGGAGGGGAGAGAAAGGGAAGGAGAAGAGAGAGAGGAGGGAAGCGAAGAGAGAGGGTAAGCATAGAGAAGGGTGGAGGGAAGGGAAGAGAGAGGGTAAGGGGAGAGGAGAGAGAGGGGAGGAGGGAAGAGGAGAGGGGAGGGGAGGGAGAAAGGGGAGGGGAGGGATAGAGACTGATGATGGTAGTTTATTCTAATACGTTTGCCTAATGGTTCGCGACAATTATTGGCATCCCTGGATTTCCTGTCACCATCTATAATGGTTTTAATTGCGCGGAAATCACCCCCAAACCACCTCATTAGCGACGCGTTTGGTCCCATTAGCAGGTGAAGCCGTGGAAGGCACCGGGGAAACCGCGGGAGCTAAATGTGAATAACCTACCCAGAATCAGTTCCTATATTGTCTAGCGCAGGCAGCTGTTCCCCCCCCCCGAGCCCCCAACGCCAGCCCGGGAAAAGGAGAGTTCTCTGTGGACTTACCGAAGGAGAGAACAGAACGTCAGGCGGCGGTGCACTCTCTCCTGAATACGTGGAGGGTTCTTTGGTTTCCTGGGCGGGGTTGGGGACCTGCAGACGTCCATGGGGTGGGTAGGGTGGGGAGGGGAGGGAGGATGTCGCAGCACTAAATATTATTCCTTTTCTACCCCGCAATTTCCTTGGGTCTCTTCGATGCCCTCTCTTATTATCGGGGTCAAGAATGTGGGTTTTCTGGGCTGTAATTTCTATCTATTTGGAAACCAGAGAGTAAGAGGAATCCATCAAACACCAACGTCTTCACGATCGTTAGGTATTATTTGTAAAAATTGACCCTTAGTGGAAATCTCTATTGCATCAGTGACATTATTTGACTTGGCGGAGGTATGCGTTCTCTGAATGCTTCTAGTTTTCTGTATTTTTTTTTTTTTTCCTGGTTTGTATTTCTCTGTGTTTTGTTTCTCTTTTTTATTTGGTGATTTTTATTTTTTTTTCCGAGAGAGGATGTTTGGGTGTTTATTTATTTGCTCTTCTTGGTTATTCTGGCATTCTATGTGATTTACTTTCGATAAAACTCTTATTTCTTACAGTGAGGGAAGTCCATATTTTCATAATTTCTAGCATATTTCTAGCATATTTTCGACTATATATAAAATTCTCAGCCTTCATATTGAAAACACTGCCATACATACTGCAAGGTTACATACTGCAAGGTCCTATTTTTATGTCGAGAAAAATTACAGTGACATTTTCTTAAGTTATCCCTAAATTGCATGCATCAAATCATCCCCGTTTTCTTTCTCTCAACAGGTTACATGTTATAGTGCAAACTCCGTTATTTCGAAAAAACAAAACAAAACAGTGACATTCTTAAGTTATCCCTAAATTGCATGCATCAAATCATCCCCGTTTTCTTTCTCTCAACAGGTTGCATGTTATAGTGCAAGCTCCGTTATTTCGAAAAACAGAACAAAAAAACAGTGACATTTTCTTAAGTTATCCCTAAATTGCATGCATCCAATCATCCCCGTTTTCTTTCTCTCAACAGGTTGCATGTTATAGTGCAAACTCCGTTATTTCGAGAAAAAAAACTGTCATTTTCTTAAGTTATCCCTAAATTGCATGCATTTAAATCATCCCCGTTTTCTTTCTCTCAACAGGTTACAAGATTACGTGCAAACTCCGCTATCTCGAAAAAAACTGACATTTTCTTAAGTTATCCCTAAATTGCATGAATTAAATCATCCCCGTTTTCTTTCTCTCAATAGGTTACAAGATTTCGTGCAAACTCCGCTATTTCGAAAAAAGTGTCATTTTCTTAAGTTATCCCTAAATTGCATGAATTAAATCATCCCCTTTTTCTTTCTCTCAATAGGTTACAAGATTTCGTGCAAACTCCGCTATTTCGAAAAAAAAGTGTCATTTTCTTAAGTTATCCCTAAATTGCAAGCATCAAATCATCCCCGTTTTCTTTCTCTCAACAGGTTACATGATTTCGTGCATGTCGAAGAATCTGAGCGTTGCCCTTGCAATTGCAGCGCCGTTGATCATTCCTCTTATGCTGTTTGGAGGATTCTTCTTGAACAGCGGGTGAGTGCGGTTACAGTAGACATTAAAATTAAACATTAAACATTAAAAAAAACATTAAACCGAAAGAGACGTAGCGCTCTTTCGGTTTAATGTTTTTTTTCCTTTAAATGGGGTTTGTTAATTTTTTTTCCTTTGGTTTATGTTCTGCGTTTTACTATTATTTTTTGCAAACTAATCTTATTATTAGATTAATATATTGTTTTTATTATTAATCTTATTATTAGATTAATATTTTTTTGTCAAGAGGGTTCTTTTTCCCTGTATAAGTTATTTTGTTTAGTTTAATCTTTTCCTTAATAAGGGTTATCTTGTTTTGTTTATTTTTCTTCATAAGGGTTCTTATTGTCCATTTTGATTTTTTTTTTTTTTACGGATTATCCTGTCTACTTATTGCCTTTATAAGGGTCATGGGTCATCTTGTCAATCGTTCAGTTGAAAGAATAATATAGGGATCATTTCCTTCAGTTGAAAGGATAATATAACATTTCGTTCAGTTAATATAGGGATCATAGTTCATTTCGTTCAGTTAACATTTCCTTCAGTTGAAAGAATAATATAGGGATCATTTCGTTCAGTTGTAAAAATAACAATAGTAACCCCCACATTCTCTTCCTCCGCCATCAGCTCAACCCCCGTTTACCTGACGTGGCTGAAGTACCTCTCCTGGTTCAGTTACGGCAACGAGGCCCTCCTTCTGAACCAGTGGCAGGGCGTCAAGTCCATCCCCTGCAACACGAACCAGACTTGCTTCCCCAACGGCCAAGCGGTCCTGTCCTTCTTGCACTACGAAAACGGAAGCATCACGGTCAACGTGTTCTGCCTGATCGCCCTTATCATCGGCTATCGGATCCTGGCGTTCCTGGCTCTCCTCACCAAGACTTTTAGGAAACAGTAGTTCGTTTCGCTTCGCCTCCGTGTTCGAGACCTCAACGCGCGGGTGTTTTCGAAGCTCCGAAGAGAATTCGGGGTTCGGTTGGCGGGAAGGCTAGGTTAGGAATAGCTCGAGAAGGTGTCATGGCGTCTGATTCTATTTTTAGAAAAAAAAAAACACGTGGGGTTTATTTTGATGACGTCACAAAAGCTACGGATGCTGATTCTATTTTTAGAAAAAAAAAGAGCACGTGGGGTTTATTTTTGATGACGTCACATAAGTTACGGATGCTTTGTGAATACGGTCGATCGTTTTGGTCTCTTCAATTTTCAAAAAAAGGATGGAAAATAATGGTTTTAATGATTATATTTTTTGAACGATCATCAAAACAGACGCCATGACGACACCTCCTCGAGTTGCTACTGATCCAGCCTTTCCCGTTCGGTTTGTCCCGATTTTTTCTCGAGCGAAGGGAAGCCGCTGTATAGCCTAGTCTGCATTTCCAAACGTATTGTTAGTTTGATTTTTTCTTCTTGTCTGTCCGAGAAAACTTGGCTCAGCGGGAATATGAATTAAAGGCTTTAAAATGTCCCAGATTTATTATTTTTTTCAGGTTAGAAACCAGAAATTAAAGGCTTTAAAATGTCCTAGATTTATTATTTTTTTTCGGGTTAGTGACCAGAAAAAATATATATTGACATCTGCTCGGACAAGGAATCTAGATTTTGTATTGTGCTGACATTTTATAAATTGTAAACAACACATCATAAGCAGAATTAAACAAGACGATTGACAAATGGTTAAATTATCCTCTAATATGCGGAATGATCTATTGTTAATTTGTTATAAAAAAGTATTAATAGCCTGACCTTGAATCTGGCTGACTTCCTATTAGTTGTCTCTTCGGTCAGCCAGTCAGCTCTCTCTTTTTGCTTTGGGGTTTTTACAAATATTAAACCAAACTTTTACGGTTTAATTCACCTGGAAATTATACAGGCATGAGGACACACACTCGCGCTAACACTTTCTCTCTGTCTGTCTGTTTGTCTCTTTTTCTCTTCTTTCTTTTCTCTTTCTCTTTCTCTCTCTCTCTCTTCTTCTCTCTCTCTCTCTCTCTCTCTCTCTCTCTCTCTCTCTCTCTCTCGCTCTCTCTCTCTCTCTCTCTCTCTCTTCTCCTCCCTCCCTCCCTCCCTCCCTCCCTCCCTCCATTACCTCCCCTTCTCCCACTACCTCCCCTCCCCCTCCTTCCCCAACCCCTCCCACCTCCCTTCTATTACTATCCCCAGCCTCCCCCTCTCCCCCTCCCTCCCCTTTCCCTCCCCTCCCCCTCCCTTCCTCCCTCCCCTCCCCCCCCCCCCCTCGCGCCACAACCACATTTTCTAACATTTTCTTATTTGGATCTACGAAGAATTCTGTAAGTCACGTGGACAGAACGTGCGAGAGGAGAGAGAAAAAAAAACAACAACAACAACTTAAGACTGGATTCAAAGAGGTCATTTTTAGTCAGCATTAAAGTGGAGTGAACAGCCAAGTGAGTTTCTAGAAATGCACAGAGAGTGAGATGCTGCGATGGGGATTTGCGATGAAAGGTAAAAAGAAAGGAATACATGATAGTGTTGTAGTAAGTAATTTGGTTTGTAATAAAGAAAGAGAGAGAGAGAAGAAAGAGAGAGAAGAAGAGAGAGAGAGAGAGAGAGAGAGAGAGAGAGAGAGAGAGAGAGAGAGAGAGAGAGAAGAGAGAGAGAGAGAGAAGAAAGAAAGAGAATGAAGAAAGAGAGAGAAAAGAAGAAAGAAAGAGAGAGAGAGAAACAAAGAACGAAATTCCAGAAGAAATAATTAGATATTTATGATACTCTAATGATGGAAATTAGGCTTACCGATACAACAATTAGTGTATGAGCGAGCGGGACCCGTAAATATACGTCTTCATTCCACCACGTGATATAAGCAACTAAATCAGCAGACAGGAGGCGGTCAAGATTTAACTTTGTCATTCTTATCTCTCCTTTTAACATTCGAGAATCTAAAGCGAATGTAGAAAATTGGCGATAAAATCCCCTAAATGATTTGAATATTATCTTTGGAGTCTAACCTTCAGAGGACGAAGTGATAAAGGTAATGATAACTTGTCAAGTAAGACGCTATCCAAGAAGTAGACGTCTGTATTGACGTTAATTGCGTGGTTACTGCTGATCAATAATTATCACTTCCATCCATTTACCCCGTTCTTAAAAAGAGAAGAAAAAAGAAAGAAAAAAAATGAAGGTTGAAGAAATTTCCTCTTTTCTTAAGCTGTCGGACGTTCTTGAACTACGAAAGTACTCAAGGCGATAAGCTGGGAACCTGTTCGCTTTTGGCATCTTTCTTCGTCTTCGTTTTCTCTCTTCGTCTTCTGCTTTTGGCATCTCTCTTCGTCTTTCTCTTCTACGTCTTCTGTTGATTCTCTGTTCGCTGCTTTTGTCATCTTTCTTCGTCTTCGTTTTCTTTCTTCGTCTTCTGTTGATTCTCTGTTCGCTGCTTTTGGCATCTTCCTTCGTCTTTCTTCTTCTCTTTTCTTCATCTTCGTTTTCTCTTCCTCTTCTGTTGATTCTCTGATCGCTGCTTTTGTCATCTTTCTTCGTCTTCGATTTCTTTCTTCGTCTTCTGTTGATTCTCTGTTCGCTGCTTTTGGCATCTTTCTTTGTCTTTCTCTTCTTCGTCTTCTGTTGATTCTCTGATCGCTGCTTTTGTCATCTTTCTTCGTCTTCGATTTCTTTCTTCGTCTTCTGTTGATTCTCTGTTCGCTGCCTTTGGCATCTTTCTTCGTCTTTCTCTTCTCCTTCGTCTTCTCTGTTTGCTGCTTTTGTCATCTTCCTTCATCATCGTCTGTCTTCTCCATCTCTGTCTTCTCTCTTCGCTTCTTTTGGCATCTCCCTTCATCTTTCTCTTCTCGCTTCGTCTCCTCTCTTCCTCTTCTCTGTTCGCTGCTTTTGGCATCTTTCTTCATCTTCGTTTTCTCTCTTCGTCTTCTGTTGATTCTCTGTTCGCTGCTTTTGGTATCTTTCTTCGCCTTTCTCTTCTCCTTCGTATTCTCTGTTCGCTGCTTTTGACATCTTCTTTTATCCTTTCTTCTCTTTTTAGCAATCTCCTTCATCTCTGTCTTCTCTCTTCGCTTCCTTTTGCATCTTCTTTCATCTTTGTCTTCTCGCTTCGTCTCCTCTCTTCCTCTTCTCTGTTCGCTGCTTTTGCCATCTTCCTTCATCTTCGTTTTCTCTCTTCGTCTTCTTTTGATTCTCTGTTCGCTGCTTTTGGCATCTTTCTTCGTCTTTCTCTTCTCCTTCGTCTTCTCTGTTCGCTGCTTTTGGCATTTTCCTTCATCCTTTTCTTCTCTGTTCGCTTCTTTTGACATCTTTCTTCATCTTTCTCTTCTCCTTCGTCTTCTCTGCTCGCTTCTTTTGTCATCTTCCTTCATCATCGCCATCTCTCTCTTTAGCATCTTCCTTCATCTCTGTCTTCTCTCTTCGCTTCTTTTGCCATCTCCCTTCATCTTTCTCTTCTCGCTTCGTCTCCTCTCTTCCTCTTTCTGTTCCCTGCTTTTGTCATCTTCCTTCATCATCGCCATCTCTCTTTTTAGCATCTTCCTTCCCCCTCCCTTTCTCCCCGCGTCTTCTCCTGCTGATTCTCTCCCACCTGCTTATCCACAAGTGACGGGGGAAACGAATGCAATTTAGATGGATGATACACTGTGTTAACAAGACAAGATTTTCTGAGTGGATATACATTCATCAGAATAAGTTCGCTTTCAACATGATTTAGACGAGTCGGTTTATATCCTGCTTATTATTAGAGTAAGTTAGTTGGTATTATGCTTTCAGTACGATGAAGATAAGTCAGGTTATATCATCTTTCATCATTATTAAGATAAGTTGGATGCTATCAAGATGATTGAGATAAGAATGTAATATTATGCTTTCAACATTATTAGTGTGTGTGTGTGTTTGTGTGTGTGTGTGTGCTCTTTCTCATTCTCTTTCTTTTTATTTCTTTCTCTTTCTTTCTCTTTCTCTCTTTCTTTAAGATACATCAGCTGACACTAGAAAAAAAAAAACATCCTAAGGCAGCGTTACCTAATCGTTAAAATTGATACACTAATGCATAGAAAAAAAAAACAGATAAAACGATATGTTGTACCTGTACTAAATGGTGAACTGTTGCTAAGGAAATTGACAATCATTGAACCAATCGCCAATCAGCATTATCACGTGACTTCACAATCTTTTTCACGGATGCTAAAGTTGTTATGGTAGATCTAGACGTCAAACAAGGGAACAATAAGAGAGATATCATCAGAAAATATAACAAAAGCCAAGGAAAAAGGAACAGCTGTTATAGACGCCACAGACCTTGTAACCATAAGTTGACTTTAGAAACTTAACCCATATATTTGTGTATATAATTTGGTTGTTAATTCTCCATTCTTCATTTTTGGGATTGACAGCGGATATTTTGGGTGTCTGCGATATATATACTTTTAGACAGTGTCTGCCAACAGTCATCTAATTGGTACTTTCAAATGTGGGTATTTGAAGTGGGCGTGGGAAGTAAGTTGGGTATGTGGGATGGGCATCTGAAGTAAGTAAAGTGGTACTTTTTATAAGTGGGTGTGTGAGTTGGGTGTGTGAAGTCAAGTAAAGTGAGTACTTATACTTATACGGTAGATGAATATGTTATATATTCACGTATACATGTTTCATTATATACACGTATCTTTTCTCTCTATGTGTGTTTTTATTGTATTCACAAAGAACATCATTCAATTTCGCTTTTTTATTATTTCTTTTTACACTTTTTATTGAAATCCATTTATATTTACGGTTTTGTATCTACAGCTTTTATCTAAGTTTCGTGTTTATTTTAATCACACTCATTTACATCGAATGGCTTTTTATTTCCAGTTATTTACATTTAGTCATTTATTCCACTCTTTATTACTCATCCTTATTTACACTTTTATATTTTTTTACATCTGGCTTTGGATACTTGACCTTATTTTCCTTTTTTCGTGGGTTGCAATTAGTCCTAAAACGCATAACTTTATTTACTATTCTTAAACCTATTTTAGTTTTAGCTCAATTTAGAAATTGACTATAAGGCTTCTCTCTCTCTCTCTTTCTTTCTTTCTCTCTCTCTTTTTCTCCCCTTCTGTCTCTGTCTCTCTATTTTTATCTATCTCTCTTTCTTTCTGTCTGTCTGTCTGTCTCTCTCTCTCTCTCTCTCTCTCTCTCTCTCTCTCTCTCTCTCTCTCTCTCTCTCTCTCTCTCTCTCTCTCTCTCTCTCTCTCTCTCTCTCTTCTCTCTCTCTCTCTCTCTCTCTCTCTCTCTCTCTCTCTCTCTCTCTCTCTCTCTCTCTCTCTCTCTCTCTCTCTCTCTCTCTCTCTCTTAATGAAATGGAAATATGGATGTTGCGTGCCTCGCTGCAGTTCCATATGCAAAATAGCAGACGTTAAAAATAAAACATGTATGGAAGGCCCTAGACCTCTATTCATGCTGGCTTGACACCGAAGAATGAGAAATTATGGGCAGATAAATAACAAGACTCAGCGACCTTCGTGAGTGGTATAAGGTGCACGTAATCCGTCGACCTTTTCTTTTGTTAGCATCTTCCAGTGTGTCGGACAGTAAGGTATGTGAGAGGATATGGAAAGAATGATAATAGACAGATGAAGAGAAAAAAGGAGGGAGAGAGTGTGGAGGAGGAGGAGAGGAGAGAGGATATGGAAAGAATAATAATAGACAGATGAAGAGAAAAAGAAGGAGGGAGAGAGGTGGAGGTGGATGAGGAGGAGGGAGAGAAGGAGAGAACGATGTGAAAATAAAATAATAGACAGATGAAGAGAAAAAGAAGGAGGAGAGAGGGAGGAAGGGAGGAGGAGGAGGAGAGAGATGAGAGACGATATGAAAAAATAATAATAGACAGATGAAAGAAAAAGAAAGGAGGAGAGAGGTGGATGAGGGGGAGGAGGAGGAGGAGGAGGAGGAGGAGAGAGGAGGAGAAGAAAAAGGCAGACGAGAAGAGAGGAGGAGGAGAAGAGAAGAGAAGAGAGGAGGAGAAGGAGAAGAAGGA